GTGTGAGTGAGTGAGTGAGTGAGTGAGTGTGTGTGTGTGTGTGTGTGTGTGTGTGTGTCTGTGTCTGTGAGTGAGTGAGTGAGTGAGAGTCACTGAAGGATTTATCACAATGCTGATTCCTCAAGGAAGCTCTAACATATTTTAAACAAAATACTGAATCACAGAGAGGGATGATTACATTTTTTGAGACCGAAACAGACAATCAAGAGAAAGGGGATGAGAGGACTAGAAAACAGATGAATAAAAGATGTCTGAATCATTTTTTGGCCACAGACATAAACAAATAGAGAAGAGTTGTCTGTAGTCGTCCTCTCAGAGCCCCAGTTCGGTTAAACAAACCCGACTCTACCTGGACAGCCATGCTTTCCCTCCCAGTGCTAACTCAGTAGTGAGGTCCGTCGTGATCTGTAGCTAGACGTTACTCACCGAACAATTACGGCTCCGCAGAGATCAAATGAGGCAACGGCAGATTCACAGACCCGTTCCAAGCATTTACAAATACGAGTAAGGCTTCAGTCATCTCTGCTGACTCACTGTCTGAGAACATAGAGTTATCTGGTGACTTCCACCAAGCGAGAGACTTTTTCCACCCGTTTGGTACTTTGTATGTCAGTATGTCGGGGTGGTTGGATAAAGACTGGGAAAAAACAGCAGAACATCCAGTAAGAGATGACTGGAACAAAAACTAATAGTTGGCCAGCTTTCCAAATAGAGATCCATTATGGATTACGCTCGTATAAACATCTGTCTGGAAACAGAAAGGTCAGTTGAATAACTCCATATTGTACAGCTTGGAAATTGTAAACTAAGTGATACTCTGATAAACGATACTTGCCTTTAAAATCAAAATAAATTGACATTTGCAACCCATTTTACATATGTAAATGGTTGTATATGAGTACTATGTTGCTCTCAACAAGAAAAAAAGTAGGTCAAGACTGCTGATTTTTTTTCCATTGGGAATTCACTGGATTGGGAAAACTGGGCGTTTTGAGAAAGCAGCAAGGTGATTGTTAAGAAAAAGTTGGATTTATGACATCAAGGTCAATTTCATGCTCCTGTTAAAACAAATTGCTGAAATTGTGTTTGAACCATCAGGATGAATCTTTTAGGTTGCATAACGTATTCCCAAGAGAAAATGTAATCCTGGTGAAAACAGTTGGAACGGGACACGGGTATCTGCGTATTTTGGACACTTTTCCTCTTGTATTGTGCGCACGTGGGCTGACAATCATGTTCCAAATCAAAAACATCACGCACTCATTCTTTTCCAGATCACGGTTAAGGTCCATCCATCAGTGCAGCTTGTAGATATGCCAATGTGAAAGCATTAAGGCTGAAAAATGTCTGCGATAATCTGTTTCCACTTATTCTTTAAAGGACGGAGGATTTTGGAGGATTCCAGAAGGGTTTTAATACCCTCTGAATTGCTTTGACTTCTTTAATCTCTTCTTTAATCTCTCACTGCAGAGCTTCTGAACACTGTCATCCAGCCGTGCTGCTTTGATAGACCTGCATTATTATCATCCCTCATGCTGTCAGTCACTCAACCCCTCAGCTTTCAGAGGCTTTTTCCAAGGTCTTATCCCAAGAACTCAAACGTCCGCTCTAAACCAGTTTGTTTATTCATGGTCAAAGGCTCCTAGATGAAGAACGACAGGTTCAGTGGGGAATCTGAGATTGGTCAACGTGATAATCATGGACCTGGTTTTGATTAACTGGGCAGCCTTGAAAAAGGCATCATAGGCCGTATTTCATGTGCAAATTAAAGCATCGCTGTGAGGGATAGATGTACAGTCTATTTAATAGAGTGTACTGTCTTAAGGCCCTAATTTTGAAGGTTTTTTTTTTTTTGCCCACTGGAAAGAATAATGTGGGGGCTGAATGATTTGCAACAAGGTAAATAACAATACAACCCATTGAACAAACAATACAACCCACTGATCCTCACTCATTTCCATCTTTTATGAAATATAGACCGATTAAGCGTCATAGTTCTCGACATGTTCCAAAAGAGTAAGCAACAACATTACACTGCTTTCTAAAGGTGTGGTTACATTTATCATTGCTTTGTGTAATTTCGCATCCAGTAATTTCAATAGGAATCAGCACAAAGAAGAACTTCACTTCATGGACTTCCTGTGGCAAAGAAATGTCCCTATGCGAAATTTGTGCAGAGTTCAAGTTTAGTGGACTTTGACACAAATTCAATAGCAAGCATCTTTTTTTCGGCAGTGACCTCTGCATGGGTGGAGATTCGCAACACAGCAAAACTGTGCCAGTACCAAAACGATCCAGACAGTTTTGTATAAAACTACATATCAATATTCTAACCAATATTCCCTCTAAGCTGTGCGTGTGCACTTCATTCGTTTTGACCGTGCAGAAGAAATAATATGCCGCGCACAGGACTGATGCAAAAATAAGTTGGGAAAGCCATGTGATTGAAGTCAAGTTAAGTGCAAATGAATTGCAATGTTCAGGCAAACCACTATAGAGTTGGTGTCGCTACAGAGTAAAATCCGGTAAATGCAGGTTTCTTAGAAAGACAATGATGTGCGTTAAATGAGTCTCTGCTTGTTGTGTTGAGCTATTCCATCCACAACCATTAATTACATGTGAAATAAAATGTCATTGAAAGAAAAGTGGCTTGAGTAAGTGGTGGAAATAGCGGATGATGGACACAGAACGGTAACAAAACTCCGAGACATTTACAGTTACACACAGGTGTAGTGGTGTGCAAACTCTACTGCATGGGGATGTTTAGATAACTGTAAAAGAATTCACGTTCACGTCTTTTGAAAATATTTATTGAAAATATAAATGTTTTATAAGATATTATATTATATTATAATAAAGAATTGAACTCCTCTGCATGAGATTTTTTAAAATTATTTTTAAATAGAATTTCTTGGTTCATTTACTAGTCGTCAGACTGGAAGTTTATTTTGTCGTCATTTTTCATCATATTTTGTCACATGTCGATCTTTTTTTCATCTGTGAAACGTCACAAAGAGTGCTAATGTTGGCTTTCATTCATTCTATGACAGCATTGCATTTGTCCTTCATTGAGAAGGAAAATCCAGAATGCATTGTAAAAAAAAAAATAATCATGATTCCAAGATGGCAGTCAAGCTAATATTCCATGTGGTGCAGATTTTCAAAAGCTTGAATAATTCAAAGGACAATTGATAATATTGGTTTAAAAAAAAAAAAAAAGTTTTATATACAGATGAATACCATGAAATGTATTTTTTAATTGATGGTTACACCACAACAGCCATTAAGCAGAATCTTTTCTTGAAAAAGGTATAAAGGTTTTCCAAAACCATGAAACCAAAATAAATACAAAGAGGACAAAAATGTCACATGTTTAAAATACATTTACTTCATTATTTTATTTGTTCTTTTTTTTCTTGGGCACTGTTAATTGCCACTAATCTATAAACATACTTTACAGGAAAACACTGATAAAAGGTTGTAGGTCTAATGTTGTAGGTTACATGACAATGGCAGACTTTATCAATACTACACACATGCACACTTCTAGAACATACATATTACCAGCTGAGAGAGCGAGGGAGCTCACTAGGATTTGAAACAGTTTAAATCTGAGATGATTCACTTCAACTGTAATGTAATGTCAACTGTAATGACAAGAGACCAAACAGAAAAAAAATATATATCACTGATTTACAATGAAAAGTGACTTTTCTTTTAACGATAGACACTGTCGCGCTGACTATGCACTGACCTACTAGTCACTCAAGCCCTGTGACCCAGATTCTCTGTTGTTGTCAAAATATTTTGTTCTCATGTAATTCCTCAAGACTGTGAGAAAACCGGACGTGTTCTGAAGGACAGCACAGATCCGGAGACTCTCACACTGTGTGTTTAAAAAACAGCTTCTTAATCTTGAGCCAAACAGACAGTCTGTCCAAAAATGTGCACAAGGGCAAAATTAAACATCATTGCCAGGAACTAGGTCAAAAGAGCATCATTTTTTGTGAATGAAGCAACTCCACTGGGCAAAGACAGTCACCAAACAAGCACGACCTCCCCTGTGCTGGCTGACTCACACTATTAATGATAAAAACACTTAGGCGTGACAAAATGTACTACATGCTGCAGTCTGAGCTCAATAATTACTGATCTACTGTACTGTAGCTGTAGTCTGGACTAAAACACTGATTGTGGGTGGTGTAGTGGTTAAGGATTAGAGCTGCTAACTGAAAGGTTGCAGGATTGAACTTCAGCTCCACAATTCACATTCATGCATCAGCGAAAGCTCTCAAGGCTTGCTCATACTCCCTGTCTGACATCTGCATAATTGGCGTGAACTGACTTGCTCTCTTTAAAGTTGACTGATTATTATTTATGCTATCATTTATTAAGCGGTTTTGGCAGATAAACTGGAAACAGTTACATTTTATTGGAAGAATTGAGCTTTTACCCTATGAGGCATTGGCTGTGATGCGGCCTTTCCTGTTCTTGGGAGTCAAACTTACCCCCCCCCCCAGCTTGAAGAAAACAAGGTTTAAAACATTGCAACAGTGGTGGTGCTTACAAGACGCTGCTTTGATGTCCTTAGCTATCCAGGCCATCATAGAATATCTCATAAAATATTTAGAATTTATTTAGTCAAGTTCCTGCTCTATTTCATCAACGAACATAGTTTCAAACAAAGCCACAGCTGAACTGTTTTGTGTCTCTGAGCAACACACGACGGTGTTTTGTTACTGAATCAATCAGCTGTTTGAACAAATTGGTTGAATGAATGACTCAATGACTCACTCATGCAGTGATTTGCTGCCTCCTACAGTCAATTTTGGTTTATATTTAAAGTAATTTTAGGTTTTATAAAAAATAAAAATAAATAAATGCCACTTCAGATGCAGATTTTGTACCACCTCTGCATTGCAAACACAATTTTTCATTTCATTTGATTGATAACAGTGTCTTACTATTTAAATTTATTGATTAAATGTATGAATTTGACACAAAAGATGATGCATACATTTAATTAGTTTAGAAAATTTGCTTTAAGGTAAAAACCAATTTAAACTTATTGGAAAAGTTACATTTCTGCCATTCCTGCAAACCAATCACCAGCACAATAACAGGCTCAGCAAAATATCATTTAATTATTGTTATCGACAATTTCAGAAAATATCAAGACACCCCTAGTTCATGATGATGTTAGCTGTATCAGTCGATTTGGCCATGTCTCTTCAGAGTCAATAATATAATTGGTGTGGGTCCTGACCTGACCTATGAGTTACACTGGTCATGAATTTCTTATGAAAAATTCTTTACTTCTTGGCAAATGTACATCTTTTCTTATGAATTTCTTTGTAATGCAGTGTAATAAGTGTGCACAATTTGGGAGCAGATGATAAAAGGCAGCTGAGGCTGCATTATCTCTGAACTGACGGGATTCATAGCGCACTTGAATAGCTTACTCAAATTTGAGCCAAAACAATTGCCATTATTTTTTGGAAACAGCAACATACAACACTTATCAAATATGGCCACAAGAATATTACTAATGGAAAATCCACACACAGTAAAATGTTTTTTTTGTTGTTTTTTTTTAAATAGAGTTTAAATTAATAAAATAAAGTTCAATTTAAGCTTAATTTTAGGTTTTATAAAAAATAAAAATAAATGTCCAGGGACATAAATGTCCAGCATTCAAATTGAATTTAAGAACATTTTTCTCACTGCAAGTTTAAGCAAGGATAGACACTTCACAGGACAGTAGACAAATGCACAAAAGTGCAGCCTCAATTTACCACAGGCTTGAATCAGCACCTCTCTGACCCAGTCTCAACAAATACGGAGCGCCGTGGACATCACAAACCTGTCATTTTTTGGCAGGATTGTCCTCTGGAAAATGCCTGTATCCAAAGGCCAACCCACAAACATGCATCCCCTGGTGTATGGAGCAGAAAATGTAGATCTCTGAGCAATGGAAAAAGTAATGAAGTCTAATGAGTCATCGCTCACACTATTTCCTTTCCTAGACAGGTTTACTTGGATATTTGCAAAGGATACCTTTGACATAAAATGTATTTTGCCAACTGTTGGCAGATCGAATTTTACCTCCATTGTCTTTCAAAGAACGAGAGTTTTCTCTTGAAGTATGGTGTGAGAACTCACTCGCTTTAAGTTCAAAACGTAAATGACAGGCTTCCAGCTGGATAGAAGCTGTTGCAAGACAAGTGAGGCCTACTGATTGTTTAGTCCAAAAGGCACTATAAACCTATTCAACACAAACTTTTGCAATAAATGCAACATTTTAAGAAGCAACATATCAAATGAAGCAAATTAGTCACAAATTGTTTGAAAAAAGACATGAGCCACATACACAACCAAGGATCATTGTAAAAATGTGCCTCTACCTACATTTTTGCAAAGCTCTGTACCTATACATACAATTGACTGCAGTTTCCAGCAGAAATGAACACTACTGTAGTGGCATACAACCTTTATTTATTTTCACACAAAATACACTTACTGAGGCAGGTTATTGATTTTTAAAAACTTTTTTTCACACGATTTCTGACCTCAAAACACTTTTACCATAGTGCATAGTGCATTTACCGTGCTTGCTTTTGTTAGCACTAATATTTAGGTTTAATGTAGATGGTACTTTTTTGTTTTACACAATTAAGCATTAACATTAACCTTTTAGCGCCACTCACCAAACATTTCATTTCAAACTGCCACGATATGTACAACAACCAACCTAATAAAACATTGCTAGATTCATGTTTATCTGTTTTGGATAAAACTGAATGTGCTTTTAGTGTCACTCACTGGCTATTTCACTTTGAAGGTGCCACGAAAGCAAGCAAAATATTATTGTTATACAAACATGTTGCTAAAGGCACATTTTTCCAATGAGCCTGAGGAGTTCTCATGTATTTATCCATGTATGTGCATGTGTATGTGTGTGTATACAGTATATATATACACACACACACACACACACACACAGAGGAGTGGAAGAGGACTCCAGTGGCAACCTGTGAAGCTCTGGTGAACTCCATGCCCAAGAGGGTTAAGGCAGTGCTGGAAAATAATGGTGACCACACAAAATATTGACACTTTGGGCCCAATTTGGACATTTTCACTTAGGAGTGTACTCACTTTTGTGATTTTAGTTTTTTTGAGGGGACAGCAAATTTACACAAATTTATACAAGCTATACACTCACTACTTTACATTGTAGCAAAGTGTCATTTCTTCAGTGTTGTCACATGAAAAGATATAATAAACTGTTTACAAATGTGAGGGGTGTACTCACTTCTGTGAGATACTGTATATATGTAGGGTAAACATACCTATTAAGCTCACCAAAATCTACATTGAGACATTTTTAGTGCACAAGATATTGGTTTCAGTACAAAAAGTGATGTTAAAATAAAACATTAATCTCTCACACAAAAATATTAAATGTAAATGCAATAAGTCTGGCTGTGCTTAATGGGTACATGTTTGTACCCTTTAAGCACACCCCTGTTCCCATTAAGCTCACATCATATTTTATTAAAAATTCCTGTTTATTTTAAGGAAAATATTTAAAGAATAATTGTACAAATATATATTTTTTGAAGGTACAAAGTCAATCACAAAAAAAACAGAACACTAAAATCAAGCAACAAGACATTCAAATCGATCAGATATATATTCATAATGAAGTGTAATTTAAGCACATTGCAACATCTAGACTAGTCCACGTTCAGCTAAGTAACACATTCAAAAATCAAATAAAACACCAATAAAACATTTCATTCATGGGGATGAACACAGAAACTAGCTTCATTATGAAACCTTGTTTTAATTCGATGTCAACTTATCTATATTCTCTTAAGGCTGGGATACAATACATGATTTTTGCCCCGATTTTCCACTGATTTACAGTCTGGAGAAGTTGACACTAGTTGCCAAAGGTCGGAGGCAGTCTGTAGATTTGAGTTGACAGAATCCATAAATCGATTAACTTAACTTAAAGTGACAACCATCAGTTAATATTTAAAGTATGTTTCTGAAGTATTTATGTAGACGTTCAATGTGGAAGAGCTTAAAGAGCACACTGAGCTTAATTGTATAAATTTAAATATAAATATAAATTTCATGTAATATATTAAAATGACAGCCTCTTTTGGTGAAAGTTTTTAGACAGCTTTCAAAATGGCCACCAGTCTGTGTGAACACATGGATACTCATATCTCAGTGTGCAATGATCTGACTCACTTGAAATTACAGGAAGTATATAGTAACAAACATATCAATTGGTTAAGACATCAAGTAGGATAATAAATTATTTTTTCTTTTTATAATCTGATCTCAAAAATGGAAGTGTGCTTAATGGGTACGTGAGCTTAATAGGTACGTTTACCCTATGCGTTTGGCAGATGATTTATTCTAAAAACGATTTACGTTGCTTTCAAGTTCATGCATTCCCTGACCCCAGCGACTTAAGACTGGGATATATATATATATATAGACTATATATATATATATACACAATTTATTGCATATATATTTCATAGATTAACCTTGCATTTTCTAGTCTTTTTTAAATGTATTTTAAATTTGTAATGATACATTATCATTTTATCTTTAATATATATATAATTTTAAATAATATGTATATCTTTATTTAAATAATAATTATATATAAAATTATAATTTAAGAATATAACTAATTGTGTTGCCAACTCGATGTAAATTAGATTTATTGGTAATCATGTTTGAAAATTCTCAGTGGCTCATTTCTGATCATCATTTTATCATTTATGGCCATTATTAAAGAAAATACTTAATTCTGTAACCCAGAAATCACTATTTTATTGTGTTGCAGCTGTGCTGCTCTGCGTGCAATGTGAAACAGGCCTTACTGTCAGACCATGCTCTGCACTAACCCTGACCTCAAAACCATCCAGCTCTGCGCAGCATGTGTACGGTCTCTTCTTAAAGCCTCTGCGCCTCTTTTATTGGCTATCAACGCCTCAGAAGCTCTGACCTCTTCAAAAAGAGTCTCAGCTTACACCCTAACCTCAAACACCATCAGGCCCTCAGACTCGGGAGAGCTTTTTCTCAGTTGTCTGCACCTCTTGAGTAATGTCTGATAGTAGCAGATAGCAATGGGCTTAAATGAGTGTTAACGGTCTCACAGTTCAAGCACTCTTCCCTGCGGACTTGTATCAGGGCCTGAGAGTGAGAAAGGTAACTTGCCTGCAGGGGATAAGGATGTTAGAAAGCGTGAGTGTTCGAATGGAAAGAAAGCATGTGTGTTTGTGATAGATTGATAGAGACTAAGTTGATTTGTGCATGTTTATGTAAGAGCGCAGGAGGCTATTGAGTTATTGTAACAGAGCTCTGAAAGTGTGAGCGTGTATCAGTGTTAGAGAAGATACTGTAAACTTTTACGCTACTCATAATTTAAAGCAGTTAAACTAGTCAAGCTCCACTTAAGAAAAGGAGTTTGCTACTTTAAATATAAAACTATCAGATGATATAATTTTTACAGTCAGATAAATCACTTTACTTAAGATAAATATTACTCTAAGTAAATTTACACAAATTACAACTAAATACTTGAAACACCATAATCTATAGTGACAAATAACTGCACTTAGGGGTGGGAGATCTTCCCAAAATATCGTATCACAATCTTATCATACAAAAAAATCACGATCCACAATCAGAATCGCGATCTTCCCAAATTTGAGATGTACTATTGAGAATATCCAGAGTGGATCAAGCCTATGACTTACCTATTTGAACAATTTAAAACGCAGTATTGCATTAAACAACCAAAATTGATATTTAAGCCCGAGTTTAAAACACTGCATCACTGTATGAATCAAATATACACTGATTCTTATTAAGGTTATAAAGTGATTCATTCAAGAGCAGTGAGTGATTGTCTCTGTATTTTGTTGTTTGATTAACATTAATGACACAGGTAGCAGTAGGTTTATTAGGCTGCTGTCTCTTTAAGACTGAACGCACAGATCTTAAATACTGACACACATCCGATTTCTTTCCCAATTGTTTATATTCACATAAGACATAACTGACCGTCTTTATGTAAATACTCAGCAAGACAAGACATTTTGACATTATATTTGTGTGTATATTTGACCATTTATGTGTGTGCCTGAAACGCCACATATACTTTGCTTGTTCATGTTTAGCTCTCTTTTTAAAAATAAAAGCATGTCCCACAGTAGACTGCATTTTACGAAAGTCACATTGCATGATTGAACTGATTTGGACGTTAAGTTTAGGAGAGGCGTAAGCACACTGCTTGAAATGTTTAAAACTGCTTGCGGCACAAATCGAAACTGAAACTAAAATTTGATTCATCGCAGTACTACTGCTAGCTCACGTTGAGTTGTTTCTTTAAGTACGTCACTACGCATGAAAGACACATGATAGAGACACGTGAAATAATTTGACCAGCCACAGTCAACTAATAGGCAGTCATTGCTGTAGTTTTAACATTATTATGAGGACATAAAAGATCACGATCTCTACGGTTCGCTTGAAAAGTAGATCATAGACGTCTTCGAGATTGATCACGATATAAAATCGACAGATCGCCCACCCCTAACTGCACTAGATATTTAGCTTAGAAAATATAAAATGCACTTATGATGGACCACATTTACGTTCTTAATCACGGCTCCATTCTGTTTTTGCTTCAGATGTCGAAATTATACAGTCTAATTACAATCTAAATAACATATGCAGCATCTTTGTTTGGATTGTGATTAGTGGTTGACTCTAATTTTGAAAGAGCACAGGCAAAGCCTTTGTTTACATAAAGAGATTTATTTTATTTGTATTAATTTATTTGATTTGGGATTTATTTTAATATTTAAGTTTAGTTTTGTTATTTGACATTTTCAATTTCACAAAGAAATGTGCCGCATTTTGTCTGAGAA